TGATTTTATAAACTTTTATTGCGCGAGAATTTTAAAATGACGGCCTAACCCCGCAGTGTCGCAATAAACAGAGAACCTTATCGGCCACAAATCGCTATTTGAACGTAAAATCCACATGCCTTCATTTTGTCCACTGGTAATATTATCGAAGATTTTAGATAACCAACCCTGACCGTATTACACCCTACCTGGGACAAATAAAAACATCGGTAAATAAATACTGGATGAAACATACAATAGTGAACTAAAGACACTAGTTTTTGTAGAGTGCGGTATTGTAAAAAATTAAAAATGAATCATAGAGGAGTTAACATGATATGTATAACCGTATTATTTCAGCTTAATGTTGATTGGGTCCGGTTTTTCTGACTTTTATCTATCAAAGTTGTTTTGTCCAACTATTGTTATAATACGATGTTTGTGTAGGCGTCCGTCTTTGGTCAATCCTTCGTCAAATATCACGCTTGCTTGTTATTGCTTTTAAACATCGATTAAATGAAGATAAAAGAAAAGTAAAGAGGACACTAGAATGAAAAAAATGTTTGTTGTCCACCCTTAAACGTGGTCAGTGTGGAAAACTATCTTGATAAAGTAAAATGTTTCACAAATGTATTATAGACTGATTTAGTACGGACTATTGTTTCATGCAAGACCATGCCGCCTCTAGCAGACCTGGCGCGTCACCTTTAGCAGGTGATAAATAGATGAGGGATATTGCACTTTTTCATAATCCCTCATGTACAACCTCAATCAAACCGAGTCTGAAATTTTCATGTAATTTTGTTGATATGACTGCTCACGAGGGATCACCCTTTTTCCAGATATCTATACTTCACAACGGCAGATGTCAACTGCCGTGTGGTAGATGTAAAAGCTGCCCCGTACTTCACACTTCAGTGTTGTTACATTTTCCTTTGGGATCATTGATTCCAGCGCATTTAGTGTTGAAAATGGAGTACCGCTCAAGCCGGTGCTAGGGTTGCGTGAGGGATGTTGCACTTTTTCATAATCCCTCATGTACAACCTCAATCAAACCGTGTCTGCAATTTTCATGTAATTTTGTTGATTTGTGCTTTCGGAAGATCACCATTTTTCCAGATTTTAATATTTTAATCGTTATGTTAAACGTACAGGTACGGCATGCATGTACCGTATATTTTAGAACTTGCTGTGCCCCCACAATTTATAATGACTAAGCAATAAATGCTTTGATCAGTTGGAACAATGGTGATAAAGTATTCCGTATGGTAATAAACTGTGAGTATAATCACCTTGATAAACATGCAGTATTAAATATTCATTAGCAATCAGAAAATTTTAGAGCTAATAAATTCATTTTATTGTTTGAAAACGCTAAACATGTTGCGGATACTAGATATTGGCAAAAATAAATACAACAATGGTCGAACCATTTATGTTCAGCAAAGATTTTTTTATCGTTCCAGTAAATAAGCTAACCCTTTAAAAACGTTGTCAATCTGGGGACAATCGCAACTTTCCGGCCTTTTTTTTTATCCTTTTCCCTTTATTTGCCGGTATGCTTTCAAATCGCTGCTCATGATGCTAGCAGAAGGCAATGGTCAACATTATCAAGCATATTAGACACTATTAAAACAATCTGGATCAGTCAAAACATAACGTTCCATCGTTTTTAATACATTTATGATCGAGGACACATAGGTCTGAATTAGGCCGTTATATGTTATTGCGCGAAAACTAAACCTTACAAAACTTTATTCATATGGAAAAAAATGCCGTTGCTTTTATGGTGTCGTCCGCTACTAAGGCCGGTTACCTAGAACCAAAGGGAGATAAATGCAATATTTTTTGTGTTCCGTCATGTTGGATTTATCTTTCTTTCTTAATAACTGCCGCTATAGAATAATTATTTTTTAAACGTAATATCCCCAATGAATATAATATGCCATTATTTTACCGAGACCTTGACCTTTTGATTATTATAGATGCATGTATATAATGCATCAACGGTCAATTAAATCGAGAAAGAGGTCTCCCAAGCTTAAATGTTATGCACGTACCTTCATTTTCGGTACTGTCGGGTCCTGGACCGGAGTCTTTAATAATGGTAACGTCTGGAAAAGAAAAATAAAGATAGAAAACCTTAAAACTATAGAGTAAATTTGTCCAATGTTCATTGAGAAATTTTATTACATTTTCTGCAAACCATTGTTTATGTTCTTGTAAACGCATGTACCGTGTTTGTCCCTACCTTAACACCCAATCTATTACATAGGAAAAATGTAAAGTGGAAGTGCATTGGGTTGAATTTGAACCGAACTGTTGTTATTTTAAATGGTTTGAATTATAAAATTGTTAAGATTGTGCATCCAATAGTATAGAGTTTGATGAGCACTGGTATGCAGGTTAGTCTGTCTCCTGTACTAAAGTGTGTTGGGGGAGGGGCATAGTCATGTCACTATCATCGTAGGCATTTGCTGAATTTCGCTCTGCTTGGCTGTTAAACCGTTGAATTTAAATAAAGGATTTCAATATCAAAATTTAAAATGAACTACCAACTGGTAAATGTTTGTCATTTTCGGTTGTGCAGATTAAAGGCCCAATATGCCCTCACCCCCAAATGCTTTTATTTTAATTTTCTCAAAAGGTTTTATATTTAGTGTTCAATGTTACTCATTGGCCAATTACCTGAATCAAATTTTGTTTCTTTTGCTTTCTGGAACTGTAGTGCTTTATTATTTTGTATGGAAGTAAAAATAACTAATTTGTTTACAATTTGCTACATTTAAATTATAACAAATATTTTCACATTCAGTGCTTCTTTCATCAGGTGATAACCAAATATCATGGTCTAAACACTTTATTTAAGCGTAAAAAACTCAAGTATGCCGTTTCTATGGAATGAAAAATATATTCTACTCTGAGGCATAATGTGCCTTTAAAGGTTAAACGATTATATGAGCCGCGTCACGACAAAACCAACGTAATGCTGTTCGCGCGAACGGCATGGATCCTGATCAGACTGCGCGGAGGCGCAGGCTGGTCTGGATCCATGCTGGTCGCAAACGCATTACGTTGGTTTTGTCGTGACGCGGCTCATATGTAATAATGTAGATTATAAGCTTTACCTTCGTTTACAAGATTTTGGTCTGGATCTTTCAGTGATGCAAACACTTCAGGACCATCTTCTTCTAATTTACAATCTAGCGGAATCTAGAAATAAAACAACATTGTTCTTGTCAGAATAACACACAAGGCACGTGCTTAACAAATTATACCAAAGGAAGAATGCAACATTAAACATTTTTTGTCAGGCATTCCCATTTTTTCTAATTCTTTTTTTTAAACAGGCAAATGACATATCACCCATTTTCTTTAGCATTACACAATGCTATTACAAGAATTAAGTGAGGGACTGAGGGACAAAACATTTCGTTCGTTTATGCAGACATGTTACCTGTAATAGTTTTAAATCAGCAAAATTACTTCCTTTTTTTGCAATGATAATTTCAGTCGGATAGTTTTGTAATGCTTGAGTGGTACACATGTTTAATCTTAACTATCTAGGATGGGCAAGGACAAGTAACTGTAACCTATAAATTGTTTCGGTGAAATGTATGATTAAGTTATTTGAATACAATGAAGAGGTAGACCAAAAATAAATTACATTGTTCCATTTTTTTCTGTCTGCCTTTTAAAGTGATAAAGAATATGAGCGATTTTCGTCAGCTGTTGCATAGATTACGTCTCAATTTTCTTACTTTTCACCAGTTTTTTTGTTCATAATTTAATAATTATTCGGCAACGCTTTCCTTAAGTATCCTGATTAGTGGGTTATTGCGGAAGTACAGAGTGTACTGTTACGACATTTGAGCCGCGTCATGACAAAACCAACATAATGGGTTTGCGACCAGCATGGATCCAGACCAGCCTGCACATCCGCGCAGTCTGATCAGGATCCGTGCTGTTCGCTTACCCAACTCTATTACAAAGCGAACAGCATGGATCCTGACCAGCCTGCGCGGATGCGCAGGCTGGTCTGGATCCATGCTGGTCGCAAACCCATTATGTTGGTTTTGTCGTGACGCGACTCATTTAAGGTCTATAAATCTGATGTTAATGTGGTAAAGATGTTAATGATGTATTGTAATCTATTCGTCTTAACACCACAAAATGCAAATAGTCTCGTACTTAAAAGTGCTTCGCTTAACATATAGTAGTCTTAAAGGCATATATGCACCGACAAACGCAAAACTGACTTTAAAAACAAAGTTACATGGTCGAATTAAAACAAGATTTATTCGTATTCCAAGAAAACCTACTGGTAATAGCAGTTTGCATTTTAGGCATAACAAATGAAGGGGAGGAGGAACTCCTTTTTATTCATCTACTATTGTATATATTAATTCGATACATTATATTACATTTAATTAAATTTTTCAATGGAAAATTGTTACAAAGACTTCTAAAGCTGAAATTGTTTCAGGAATTGAGTACAAAGGTTTTGCTCCAGGTTAAGAGTTATGACCCTTTGATTTTTAGAAGCGACGTTAGTAAGTAGTCAAGGGGGGGAGGATAGAACACTTTTTTTGAGTAAAAAAACAAAATCACTTAAGCGTAACGACAGCGCGCCGCCATCTTGGAACATTGAGTCTTCGTCTCACGTTACTAACGTCCGCCATATTGCGCCGACGGATCTGGCGGATCATATTGGTATATCTAGCAGACGACAGTTTAACTTGTCCGCCAAAATTTGATCTTTTTACAAAGTATTTGTTTTAAGCTGGATTTTAAACCTCTGTAGCAGACGTTCTTTTTCCAATTAAAGGTATAGGGCGGTTTAAACCCTCAGTGAAGTAAAATAAGTATTTCATATTAGAGGAAAAATAATTTTACTCGGCCTTTTGAAATGCAACCATGCTGAAACTAAGCGTACACTCTACATACAAACGGCCTGTTTTGTTTAACGCTATTTTCTATGTAAAGTTGACGTAGAGATGTCTACATGCTTTAACCTACAGTCTATGGGGTAAATAAAACGAACATAAAAAGCAGAACCAGATTTTGTGACTTTAGACGTATTTTATTTACAGTTATTACAACATAGAATATGCAAGAAACAAATGTAAAATACATAAATACAATGCATATACTTTCAAGTAAATACGCTACAATCACAGGAGTCTATAGAGGGGGGTGTTTTTTTTTTAAGATAGACTTTCTGTGGCTTATTGATAGAATTTCAGACTCCTGTGCTACAATAAACTTAATATTGTGATTTTCAATATATTATTAATAACCGTAAGGGAACGAATTGTAGTTTTCAGAGATCACTCTCTTGTCAAACACAATTTTATAGTCTTTTATTTCTGTCTTTGTTATGATGTGACACATTTCTCTGTTTCTAACGATTTTATTTCTGTCCACAACTTTAACGCATTGATTTTGCATCTGTCCCGTTACCATATCTTTCAGTGTATCAAAATTAATGTCCAGTGAATTCTTAAAATTTAGCGTAATTCCCCTGACTTTACAAATTGAAGATTGACCTTTTTTGTTTGGCTTTTCTAAACAATATGCGTAGTTCTTAGGCCCCCCGGTGATGAATCTAGTTATTTGATTGTTTGGAACTTCATCCGTTAAATCTCCCAGGAAGTCACCTAATGGAGGATCCCACTCACCCTGTACAGAGGTGAACACAACAGAATCGGTATCACAATACAAAACTCTTTCACCTAATGGTTGTAAATAACTGTACAATTTCAAACGGGCTTGAGCGGTTGTGTATGCAGCCACAACAACATTGGTTCTACCTGATGTTTCTATGAAATCAGTATTATATGCCCAGTCTAACTGGACTGCTTCATCATTTATAAAACGTACGTTCTTGATTTCTTGTTGGTCAGATGTCATCATATCAATGAATTGAGATGGATCATCAATAAAGGTTGTTTGCGTAAGGTTGGAACGTTGTCCAAATTTCCCCCAGAAAGAGTTAAGAATAATTTTAGCTAAAAGTCTCAGACCAGGATTTTCTTCAATCTTATCATAATCTAGTAAAATACCTTCTTTATCAAAATACTGCTTAATATACAATTGTTTGTCTTTTTCATTTTCACACCAGTCTGGCCAACCACTGGCTTCCTGTTTGACTTTCAAGAAAGTATTCACATATTCTGTAAAAAGCCCACCTGTTTTGGTACACGGGTCGTATTGAGCTATTTCAGTGAAATGCCAAACTTCGTAAATGGTAAGTAACTTATAACCTTGTGATAAAGCCATCTTAACTTCATCAGTGACCCAAGTGCCTGTAATGGCCCTTTCATCGTCACCGTGGGGACATTCTCCATTTTTATATGTTTCACTACAGGTGCGACAAAGAGTGAACATAAGCTTACCATTGCATTTGTTTGGCAGGACGGGAATATACAGTTTTCTTGGAGGTAGAATTTTGCATTTAATTAACCCTTCGTAATAGCTTATATTCTTAAAATTTTCAGTGATTATATTTGGATGGCCTAATGGTATTTTCCCTGTTTTATTGATGAATGGATACAGAGATGTGACATCAAAGTACTTAATCTGAGTATCAGCCGTGGACTTTGCATACATTTTAAATGCTTCAGTGCGTCCACCATGGAAGGCATCTCTCGGTTCTAACGGGGACACAATTTCCAAAGATTCGATGTACTTTTTCATGATAGGATTGGACTCTAATTTCTTTTTGAAATCACATTCCCATATACTTTCATAAATATACCCTTCAGATTCAAGATACGTTTGCTTATCAAGGGTGTTTGTATATAATTCAGACATGGATAATCCATTCACCCGATTAATTGTGTTTTTAGAAAAACATTTAGGGCAGCCATGCCAGAAATCGCCATGAAATTCTAGAACAACTTTTTGACCTTCTGCTGTTTCATAGTACCCATCAACTTTATATGGTCCTATTTGTTTCTCCCCCTTATTTCGGCCATGTTGGATATATATTTGCCTTTCAAATGCAAGGTAGGATAACCATTGATAAGCCATGACTGACTGTTTGGCCTCGGGGCGGTAACCATGAGACGGGATGATACCAATAGTTTCATGATTCAAGAAAAGACTCCTAAAAACAAGATTACAAGCTGATGCTATTGTAATGCATTTCTCAAATGGGTCTATTCCATCATTGTCCGATGTTTGAGTGAGTTCTTTGAACAGTGTTCTGAATTTTAGACAACATTTTCTAAGAATATCAACATCAGATTGACAGTAACGTAATAATTCTGTCTGCAGTGAGAAGGGTTTGTGGCTATTGATAGCATACCACTTTAAAAACTTCTGACGTGATTCTGGCCTCATGCTGTCGGGGTTGTAATACTTAATGTCAGGCAGATGATCAAGTTCTACCGAGTAATTTTCCGTCGTATTAAATAGATGAGGAAAGTACCCTTTTGCCAGTTCAGTTTCTCCAAAAGCTTTAGGCATGTCTGCAAGGGCCATTGGAATGAAATTCAGAGAGTCAATGAATCTTATTTGAAAGATAGGTACTACAATGGACATGTATTTTGATCCCGTTGTTATCACCTCGGGCAGAATGGCGTTGTCATACAAAAATTTCATGATGGGATAACTATCATACCCTTTGAAATTATGACAAAGAACTGTGGCACCCTTATTTTCAACCGTGAATAACCACTTACAGAATGACTCAATGGTATTTGAACCTGAAAACACCCATTCATTTGGACCACATTGTGAACACTTTGAAGACGAGGTAACGTCAAGATGCAGACAAGTACTACAAACCCTGTGTGCTACACATAAATTTGCCCTATGTTCCATAGATCCACACCAGGACTTCTTACAATTAACACATGTATTGTTAACACCAGGCAGGTAACCAGAAGCGCATTCAAGACGTTTATCCTGTGTACATTCAAGATCAAAGAAAATATATTTTGTCTGTTTTTCTCTCTTCGTATCATTTTCAGCTAGAGCGTCATCATCTTTAACCGGTTGCATGTAGCATAAGTGATTCTCACTAACAAAGTCTTTGCATGTGTCGCAATACTTTTCACCACAAATATGGTCATTTTTATGTTTTGAACGGTTAATAAGTTGGCTGCAATGTTTGCATCTGTAATACGATTCGCAAGTTGATTTTCCCTTTTCCGTCTTCTTATTGTGCAGATCAAAACAAGTTTGATTTACAAATTTACAGTTGCAGGTTTCACAAAATTGCCAGTCTTCAGACACATCTTCGTGAAGTTTATGGCAAAAGTAGCAAGGGTTATTACACTTATGACGTTCTTTGGTTTGGTATCCTTTCTTACACTTTTGGCAAAAAAAGCTTCTGTTCAAAAATCCTGTCATTGAAGTAATAACGTCATAATGATCATCATGGTTGTAGATGTATATAGGCACACCTCCCTCTGGTCCTTGATAAATGATGGCATTGAAGTGTGCTTTAGATACTACATGGATCTGATAGTTTACTAGGGCCGCCTGGAATTTCTTCACCTCTTCTATCCCGCATTTTCCGAGTGGCACGTCCGCTTTTTGATGAAGTTCTTTGGCCAGGTCTCGCTGTATTTGACGACCTTGGCGAATAATATCCCACTGCGGGTGCTTTTCCACACGAGCTATAGCTGTAGCTAGAGCTCTGCCACAACAAAGTTCATCCTTATTCTTTATTTGTATTACACTTTTCTTGTTCTGTAACATCTGAGTAATGTCTACTGTTGGTTTCATTTTGTATCCTGAGCCTTTAACGTTTACGACATGAACCAGTTCTATACCAAATGTCTCGTCAACAACAAACTGCTCATAAGACTGTAAAACTCGTTCAATCTCAGAGAGAAGTCTATCAACAGTAAGAGCTGATCTTGGCATAAATGTCAACACAATCGGATAGTCCAGTTCTGGGTTATCCATGGACACCCTCACTAAATCATTGGCTGGAATATGTTCTGTAATTCTTGTAAGTATAGATTGAAATATTACTTTTAGTGTTTTTAAAATATTTGGTAAATCTCTCACTTCCAAGTCCTTGATTTTAATATTATAGTAAGAGGCCGTGGTGTTGAACTTTTCAATTCGTCTTTCGTTTATTTTCACAATGTTATAGTATTCGGAGGCATTATCCTTTGGTGTTAATTTTTGTCGTTTTCCCGAGCTATTATGTTCGTTATCACCATGAGTTCTTTTCATTCCACTGCCAGTTTGATTTTCATGTTGTGAAAAATGTTCATCAAGCGCATCTTTCCTTGTAAAAACTTTAAGGCATTCCGGACAGTGGTGAGAATTTTCGTCTGCATGTTTCTTCATATGACGATCTAAGTTCTGTTTTCTGTTAAATGTCTTCTTGCAGCTAGGGCATGTAAATTTTTGCCAATGATTCTCTATTCTTCTGTGCTGAAGCAGTTGACTTAGTTTAGTGAAACTAGCTCCACACTGTTCGCATGTATAAGCCATGTTTATTGTTGCACGACTGAAACGATAATGAAAAAATAAATATTAGTGTCGAGTTAAGTAATAAACTTAGAAAAAAGATATATACACAAAAATTAGATTTTGTCTTAATTTTGGTACAAGAAGAAAAAAACTTTTTTAAGAGCCTATAGTTATTTCAAATATAAAAAGCCAGGCGAGACTACAAAAAGCCAGGCGAGACTACAAATAGCCAGGCGAGACTACATATTTTACCTTATCGAATTATAAATTATCCTTTCTAATATTCGGCACTGATCTTACAGGAAAGAGATTCTCTCTAGAAATGAAGACAAAATAAGGTTCAGTGATTTAAATATCTAACGTTGCGCATGCGCAGAACTGTTTATTGTACTCTATATAAGATGTGGGTTCGTTTAAAACGTGCCATTTGAGTGCTAGCCAAAGGAGAGTCACGATGGAAAATATTACTTGCTCGGTGTGCAATGAACCGTTTTCTAGTAGATACAGTGTACGTAGACACATAACACGAAAACATTCAGATTTAATTGAAGGAGCTCAGGAGCCACAGGTTGGAGCACCGCAACACCTCTTTGGAGCATCGGAAAACCATTATGGTACTCCGGTGTACCGGTGCACCGGAGCACCAGGAGCGCATTTTGGAGCACCGGGGCACCATATTGGTGCACCGGTGCACCAGTGCACCACTCCTCCTCAAACACCTACACTACGATCAGAAGAAAACAATGAAATGGTGTTTCAACATCCCTTCACTATGATGATTTCAGGTCCCACAGGTAAATACATTCTTACCTTTTTTCTGTAAATTTTATCACCATTTGAGACTATTTTGCCCAATTTTATTCCAGATTTTGATACATATTTCTAGATATTTTTTCTACATTTTTTCTTTCAATTTTTCTTTCTTTAAAAAAAAATCATATATTTGCTTAGTTTGAAAAATTTCCAAAATACTAATTTTTTCTTGTTTTTTTCAGCCTGTGGAAAGACGACGATGGTGAAAGAGTTATTGCAGAATCACAAATTGAAAATACAGCCTGGTATTCAAAGGATCGTGTGGTTATACAAACGATGGCAACCATTGTACACTGTTATTGAAAGAACTGTTTTTCCAAGAGTAGAGTTTGTTCAAGGTTTACCATCAGACTTAGATGACGACGACTACTTTGATACTAAAGTCAACAATCTACTGATCATTGATGATTTGTTCTCTGAATCTGGCAAAGATAAACGCATTACAGATTTGTTTACGGAGGGATCTCATCACAGGTCTCTCTCAGTCATTTCAATTAATCAGAATCTGTTTGGAAACAAAGATCCTACACAGAGAAGGAATTGTCACTACTTAATTCTCTTCCAAAATACGATAGATAAGCAATCAGTGATGACATTAGCCCGACAGATGTACCCAGGGAATAGTGAAAAGTTGTTGAAACCATTTGAAAAAGCTACCAAGTATCCTTACGGGTATTTATTGGTGGATTTAAAACCGTTTACACCAGAAGATCAGAGGATAAAATGTTTGATGTCCAAAAACACCAAAATTAATCAATCTACAGAACGCGTTCATCACGTGACTCCTCCCCAAGAACCTATAAAAGAAACTGTTTTTCCAAAAGTAAATTATTCTACAGCTGCAGTTCAAACAGATCACATCGAGGATAAATCACAAGATAATTACGAAAATAATTCGGAAGACATAATGGAACCTAAAGGACAAGCTTGCGATGATTGTGGGCAATTATTTGACACTAATCACGACGTGCAGAGACATGTTAAAAGCGGATGGTGTCCTGAACACAGGGAATCAAGGAAACGAAAACACGAGGAGTTGAGCGATAGCGAGCATGACGAAGATTCTGTAGAAGATAATGAGGCTTACGTTAATATATGGAAAAGAGCTAGAGAATCAAACGATCAAAAATTCGATAAAATATACAACACATTTATAGACAATGGGGAGGAACATGATGATGCTCAGGAAATGGCGGAAGAGCGCATACAACCTTATAACGAAAAAGACTTTTTCAGCAAGTATACAACTTTAATAGATAACTATATTCTTCCACTCAAAAACAGTAGATTACATACACAGATTATGGTCCAGATAGATAAACTGGTTTCAAAAGGTTTAAATCCGACATCAGCCGTGAAAAAAGTTATCAGAAAGCATAAGAACTCATTTCAAGACTTGTTTGATATGGAATTTTCTGATGATGAAGAAGAGGAGGAAACAGATGATGACGTCAGCGGGGAGGAGGAAAGTGACCAAGAAAATATATAAATTAACATAACTTATCTTCTGTTGTTTATTTGTGTTGTGAATTTTAGACAGTAAACATGGCTCCTTGGGAGGACTATTTAAAAACTATTTATTATGATGCTAAACATCCCGGTGCGTTTGCCGGACCACAAAAACTGTATAAAGTTGTGAAATCTGAAGGAAAATTTAATATTGGTATGTACAGAATACGTCAATTCTTACATGATCAGGAGTCCTATAGCCTGCATAAACCAGTAAGGAGACGATTTCAAAGAAATCATATTGTAAGTGCAGGAAAAGACGATTTATGGATGGCTGACTTGATCGATATGGTGAAATTTGCTGATTGGAACAAGGGTTTCAAATACATTTTATTGGTGATAGATACATTCTCCAAGTACGTCTGGTTACAGCCGTTAAAATACAAAACTGGAGAAGAAGTAGCTCAAGCGTTTCAGAAAATCTTTACATCTTCAGACAGATCACCGGCCAAACTCATTACTGACAAAGGTAAGTATTTATTTTTCTACAATTTATTTTTCAATTATAATTAGAGTTAAGCAAGACCTAATTATTTACAACAATACAACTACTGTAAATCTGATATTCATATATCACTTAATTTTTATTTAATTATATAGGTATATATATATATATTATGTAAGGCAGATACTACACATTATTTATTTTTTCAGGTCAGGAGTTTAAAGCCAGGAAGGTCCAAGCTCTCATGAAGAAAGAAGAAATTCAATATTTTCCTACTCAAAATGAAACAAAGGCATCTACCTCGGAAAGAGCTATTTTGACTATAAAGACCAGACTCATGCGCTATTTTTCGTATTTGGAGACTAGTACATTTCTACCTGTGTTACAAGACATTGCCGATAATTATAATCGCACCTATCATAGAACAATTGGAATGAGACCTGCGGATGTCAAGGACACAAACCAGGAAGAAGTGCGTTTAGCTACATACTTTGCGCAAAATCCAAAATCAAAACGTCCAGACGTTACACTTAAACCTTTCAAATTTAAAGTGGGTGACTTTGTGCGTATCAGTCATCTAAAAACTGTGTTTACCCGGGCGTATGACCAAACATACTCTGGTGAAGTGTTTAAAGTACATAAACGCTTCCACCGAGGCACACTACCTATCTATAGACTTCATGATTTACAAGACGAAGATATTAAAGGAACCTTCTACGAGAGTGAACTTCAGAAAATTAACGTTGATCCTAATCAGACTTGGAAAGTAGAGAAAGTATTAAAAACCCGTGGCAAAGGGCGAAACAAACAATTATTTGTAAAATGGAAATATTATCCGCGTAAATTTAACAGTTGGATAAATGCTAGTGATTTAAATTAATATTCTTTAGTTTACTTTGCCTTAGTTATGTTGATAATTTTGTCAATATACGTTCTGTACTTAATAGTTATATGTTCAATGTTTAAACTGTATTTATCTCATGTAAATAAAATTGGTGAAGTACACTTAAACTTTGTTGTATTTTTCAATTCAAAACATTTGCCGATATTACAAGCGTGCATTTAAACCTGGGTGTAATAATGCGTTTAAGGTAGTAAACGTCGTCTGCTCTGACACAAAAAGTGATCGTCTGCTACACATTTAATCGTTTAACGTTTAACGATATCTTTGACCGCTATACAACAACTAACCAAGTTGTACATATCAATAAACTTGCTGATATCTGATTGGCTGTCTAATAAATTGAGCCAAAAAAAGTGGTGAAAAAACTTACCAAATATTGAGAGATTTTCTTTGCTGTGTGTAAATTCGAATAATTTTATCTGTAAGCGATTGTGTTGATGTGAACCGTACGCTGTCAATAGCGGTAATGAAATAAAGTATCGGAAAATTGGTTTAAATACTGTACAGCAGATAAATAGTTTATGATGAAATAGAGCGTCTGCTACAGAAGTTTAAAATACTATCTTAAATCAAATATTGGGAAAAACTATTTTCAAACTTTGGCGGCCAATTTAAACTGTCGTCTGCAACAGAGGTTTTAAATACATGTACTAGCTAAATATTGGTAAAAACTATTTTCAAATTTTGGCGGACAAGTTAAACTGTCGTCTGCTAGATATACCAATATGATCCGCCAGATCCGTCGGCGCAATATGGCGGACGTTAGTAACGTGAGACGAAGACTCAATGTTCCAAGATGGCGGCGCGCTGTCGTTACGCTTAAGTGATTTTGTTTTTTTACTCAAAAAAAGTGTTCTATCCTCCCCCCCTTGACTACTTTAGTAATCTAATACACGGATTCGAAGGATTGTGTCCCTTGATAACTCTTTCCGCTGCAGGTTAGATCTTCAGCATGCAATGCAATAAATAATAATGAGAAGACATCAAATTCTTGAATTGTACACAAAATTATTTCACATGAACAATTATTGTGCAAGTATGTTAACAAGGAAAATTTCATGTCAGAAACTATAAAAAGATCTTTATTTATTTGAAAGTATAAGTTCAATAATGTATATATATTTTTAATCTTTTCCCTACTTTTTTAAACTTCGTCCTTGCTACAGTAAGATTTGTCCTTACATTTTAGAATTAACATTTTCAGACCATAATATTGTTGTTGGGTCGTAGACCGCTTGACCTTGCGCGTCTGTCTTTTTAGAAAATCTTTTTGAAAACATTTATTTTGCATACTTGCTTATCTCATTTTCATTTAGACCATGGTACACAGCGTTTGAATGGAACAACTTAAAGTGATATACTTAATTCCCGATTAAATTAAACTTGAACATAACCCTTTAGGTCTTTAATAATCAAAATTACATTTTTAACCACAAAGATTTTAAACGTAATATCTTTTGACATCGTACATCCAGACAAATATTAACATTCTTTTTTTAGCTAAAGATGTATATCCGTTTTTATTACCAATTCATTCTTTTTTAATTCAGTTTTTATGTGTTGTAATGTACCTCTGTAATTGGTCTAAACCTTATCTGTCATGTCGCTATGTATGAAGAATTTTTATATGAATGAAATGTCTGTCTTTTTTGTTGAAGATTTCACAGTTCTTTTCTTGAAGGAAATGATTACTTCACACGAATTTTTCAATAAAACTAACCGCAAGTGGCGTGCGGATAATTAGAAAACTTGGGTTTAATTTTAAACCTGACATGTTATACGACATGCTAATTAAACTCTCGAGTATAAAGCGGGCACTGAATGTCCAGTGGTGTCATGTCAGGCCACGCAACCGGGCGCTACGAATTAGACTCATATCTTTATTTTCAATCAAACTAAGTTTAGCGTGCTTCATAGTTAACACAGTAAATTAATGGATCTAAAGCTAGAAATAGGTACAAAATAGGTATAGTCAAAATGTCACCTGTTATGACAATAGATGATAATATCTAAAACAACATAGAAAGAAGAAGTTCGAGTCCCATTTGTAGTGGCCATTGCTAGCTTTAGATAGAAGGTGTGAATCTCAGTAGTGACTCGGGTTGACCCGAGTTAATCAGAAATACAACCGGCTTTCACATGCCATATTTTGAAAAGCTATTGTATTTTGCGCAATACAAACATAAACGAGGTCGTAATCGAAAGTCGAATACATAATTTAATTTTTCCACTATTGACATTATGTAATTAGCAATAGAAAATTAGTTAATTTTACCACATAAAATAGATTAGGATTATCAGATTAACTTTTATATCTTTTAGTGGTTGTAAACGTTTGATATTTTACATGTATTTGTATACTATAATTGACAAATAAATCTGACTTCTTGACTGCCATCCAAGTAGACAATTACAGTCTGGCATGCATGCATGCCTGCATTAACGTGATGTAAATGAAATTTTACCGGTGCTTCAACTGCCAAAATATCACATAATAAGACAACTTTTATTTGTACCTGCACATAAAACAGCGCATTGTCAGCATATTAGCCAATTGGTATATATAAAGCAAATGTAACAAGACCGCAAGTGTCAACTATTTCAACGTCAACAAGTAACAAGTTGATGATGAACGCGGACATGTAGCTATTAAATGGTTTGTTATACAATAGAAAAAGCAAAAGAAGAAAAAAAACTCCAAAAAAAAAAAACGTAAAACAAAAATAAAACAAACAAATAAAAAAAGGAGATAAAAATCGCAAAGCGGTGAGCGGCAGATATGTCTTATTTTTCAGTTCATTGCCATGCTACAGTCACAGTAATATATTGCATTCAACGACAGGCAGATGTAAAAAAAAAAAGATGTTTCAGTTATTTCCTCAACACTGTACCAAGACGATACCGGTATAAACCGGGAGATTTCGGTATGTATACGTATATAAACCTGAAGGAATTCTTGTAACGGGTTTCTTATGAATGGTACTTTAGCAACACTTCATATTGTATAGCTGTCAATAAAATTCTGTAATAAATAATATCTTATTGTTTATTGTTGATTACAGGAACGTCAATGTAATTTGCAATTACAGCTCTGTAAGTATAGAAATGATTCCACCCAATTTTAACCACAGGTCCTGATTTCAATCGTTTTGTAAAGGAAGAACAGAACGTAATTATCCAGAAGTTTAAAATGTCTTTATCAACTCCCGGACTGATTGTCATTGGGTAGGACCCAAATTAAGCACTAGACATGGTACAATAGGTAATCGGCATCTAAGTAAGTCCTGAGTCTGAGCCCCTGTTGGTTTGATTGGTATGGCTCTAGGTTACCACTGGTCACATGTAATACATGGCAGGTAGGTTTTCAAGCTGGTGATTTGTAAGTTATTTGATTCTGAATGAAGCGCGTTAGTGTTAACGTCAAAATGCAGAACACATGTGAAATTGATGAAATGTTATAGACAGCGGGTTTTTGACATGCTTACTAAGCCTTTAAAGTTAAGATAAACATTCGGGTGATATGTTTTCAAGTTACAACATACCTCTGTTGACAGCCTGTCCCTGGGTTTGTTAATGCTTGAATTACTCGAATTCCTCTGCCCTCTTTCTGCTCCCTTACTCGAATCTTTATCCTGTACCCCAGGATCCACATTATCCGTGGAACTTGCAGACACAAGCGCAAAATACATGGTAAAATCCTCACAGGAATCAAACTGATACACTATAATCACTTTTCCATATCTCACCACCACACCTCAGGTAAGTTAAATATGCACAGTTAGACATTCTTTAAAGGTATATTCCATTCACTTACAATATGTCGCGGTTTCATACCCTATCTTGTCGCTTATTTATTTCCCTCTTAAATAAGAACTCCGTTTTAATGGTTGTAAAAGGTAACAAATATGCCCAAGTCATGTAATCTTATTTAAGGATTTTCTATTTAAAATGAAAACATAGTCATAACCGTAGCCAATTTACCGGTATTAAACGATATCAAAACATACACTTTACACTCAAATACATTTACTATAACGAAAGAATTTGACAAGTCTTATGTTATATTGTAAGAAATCCGACCTATAACCTACATCATTAAAACCAAAGTAATCAGAAGAGATTTTCCACCAATCTATTGCTCATTAAATATTTACTTAAATGAAATTGATACAAATATCCATGTCCGTTAAGCTATCAATTTAATCATTCAAATAAATGCTTAAAGTAAACGCGACTCTTCTATCGTAATCACGAGAGCGTTTGAAGTGTAACTTCGGCTCGTGCTTAAAAGTGCACTATGTATATTATAATGTATATTTATACTTCTAACGTAATAAAGGTATGCGCGTATTTATCATATGCTATCTTTAAACACATACAAGCGAATTTGTTCTAAATATATCTAAATATAATAAAACTTCATTCATATGTCACTTTCTGTTCTATTTTCAGCTTTTTTGAGACATTAAGAACAATTAATTTTTCCATTTGAGATACTATCTTAACGCTTAACACCTTTTTTCTGAATAGAAAGTACACGTCAATGTACATTATACATGTACATGCATTGTAAAATCTTAAAAGGACAAGGAATATTTATCTATAGTTTTATCATTTTGTTCTACATTGTTTTATTTTGTTAGTCCTGTTTTTGCTTGTTTACAAGACTTTTTATTGTTTTTGTTCAGTTGTTTTCTTTCGACGCGTTCATAAAATATTAGCAGACGACACACGAAATTTCGTTTGAAACAAAAACGAATTCACTATACATGTATATAATCTATAACTTTTACTCAGACGTTCGTCTGGTATACTGAACAATACATGATCCTTTTGATAAGAAAATGTTAATTGTTTTAACAAATTAAATAAAACAATCCAAGTTAACGCCCTAACATATAGAATGGCTGAAAAGTGGCGTTAACTAAAGAGATAATAAAGATTTCATAAAAAGGTAGAATAAACTAGTAATAATACAACTCTTGAAACTGATATACTGTGAAAGTGTCATTCAATATATAGATTCGTCAAATTACTTGTTCGCAGACGATAATTAACGGTCATTGAGAAACAGTAAAAGAGATATTTTTTTATTTTTTTTAATAAATACTCTTCTGCCATTTCAATATTATGGCTTCAAAATCACACACTGGCACAGTGTGGAAACACAAGTGGAAAGAACCACAACTGTGTAGCCTACTTTGGTGGTAAAGAACGACAACTCTAGTTTAACGCATTAAAATTCTCAATAATTTTGTTGTTACTTGGTCTGTAGACGATAAAAAAAAACATTTAAAAGCTGTCTGGAATATGTTTTTAAATCAATTAAACTATTTATTTGCTTGATGTTTATTATCAAAAATTACTATTTAAATGCTTGCTTTAAATTGTATCAAGGGTTGTAACGAGTGCAATGCATGTCAAAGTCAGTCCTGGTGCTAATATATGGTTTAATTAGAATACACTTGCAAATAGGAGAGGGGGCGGAAGGAGCGGTACCGGCGGAATCCCCACATGTAAAAGATTATTAAGCATTCATTATTTTTCATGTGTGGTGTTTTGTCCACTGTATACAATTTTGGGGCGTGGGGTTTTGGTTTATACAAAATTATTTTAGTTCGATTGTGTTGGAAGCTATAAGCTTATTGAAACATTCTCGAATCAGTTCCTGGAACCAACCAGTACTAAGCAATGAATGTAAAGTTTCTTGCTCAAGGAAACAACGGCTTGCCCCTGACAGGGTTTGAACCCACGCGGTCAGCAATCCTTAGATTACTAGTCCGACGCGTTAACCACTCGGTGTGGGTTTTTGACATGAGGGGTTTTGTCCTACATTCTTCAATAGAATATCCAGTATTTCTC